TACACACACAACATATATATATATATATATATATATATATATATATATATATATATCAGCTAATATTTTCTTCATTGAAAATGATTCTTACTTTTAATGAAAATGGTCATGACCATCACTACACATTTTGTCTATCTTCCTTAGCAGCAATTTTAGTCAAACTAACATGAGGATTTTTGTATTTAAATATTTTTTATTTCATCATGAAAAAAAGAAATGTTTGTACAAAGTCTTTGATGAAAAAAGCAAAAATCCACCATACTAACATTCGGTTTTTTAATTCATCTTTATTTGATTTCCAAGATTTGGAGCTCCTTTGATGTGGTACAGGACATTTAAGACCTCATGAGCATTTTCTACTGTCTTTACTAAATATGGATGTCAAAATCCCACTGTTGGTTGATGATTGATATGTTCACTAAACTAGTCATTTTTAAGTTATGGAACATATGACCTGCAACTATGGAGACTACTACCATAGCAAAAAATAAGAAACTGAGAGGCATCCTAAATATACAAGCCCAAATCTGCATTCCAACTACACAAGTGTATAAACTGGCAATTATCTTACAAGAATGTACATTTATATTGTAAAGTTATATTGACTTGTTTGCTTTTAAGAAAGCAGATTGGTGTTTATACCACTTTCCTTGGTGCAGTGTTGAAACATTATGTTCTAGGAAGATCAGGAAAAATTCCTGCCAGGACAACAAAACACGATAACATGACCACCTCTGACATGTCATCTTGATACACAGCATCCAACAGTACTCTCCATAAGGTATAGCCAGTACTACTAAATTCATGACCCAGGAATGTATTACCATAATGAAATTGACATCAAACTAACTTGCATACTTGAATATAGAAATGTCCTAAATGTTGAAGATTTCTGAATTCAGCAGTAAAGAACTTTTCCTTAAGGTAGCACCAGTACTACTAAGTTCCACCATAGGGGATCTATGACATGTTGGATTTCACATTTGAGAACAGAAGTTCTGCCCGACACACAACCATTAAATAAAACTTGTTCACAAAATAACTTTATAGAGATATAGTCACTATACCAGAAATCCCTCTGATATCTGAGCCCTGAGCATTTCCACACTGTTAAGTAGTTTCTTCTGGTGTCCAGCTAAGCTCACACCCAGAGCAGTCAGGTCCTTGTGGGTCAGATTGGCTACTGCTTTTATAGTAGTTACACCAGCATGATCAAACTTTTTTTGATATTGGCCCATCTTTAGACTATTCAACCACTCTGGCACAGATTTAAATTGCATCACGTTTGATGTAGGAGGTTTTGGTGAATTCTGGTTCCTGAAATTACCAGAAGAAAATTATTATTTTCATTCCAGATGCATAGCAAAGCAATATATGAATTGTAAACCTAATTCTGAAAGTTTGACTTTGTTATTAAAACATTTTCTTTTTTGACATAAAAACTTCATTGTTACCATGGGATTTCTTGAGATTACATTATTTATTATTAAATCACATAACACGTGGTTTTCTTATACTTTGTTAAGATCTTACTTAGAATAGGAATGTTAATTATTTCCTAATTTAATTACTTAGGTAGAAGTATTAGCCTTGTACTCACATGTATGTAGATACATTACATAGCTTGTCTGGGCATTTTATTAACTTATCTAAGGTTTTAACTATACTGGAGAAAGTAGGTCTAAAGGAACGTTCTTTTTGCCAACAGTCCAACATTAATTGATGTAGAGCTTCTGGACAATCCTGGAAAATTAAAGAGTGCTGTAATTAAGTTATTTTTTCAATTATTTCATTATTTCAATCTATTAAAATAAACTTCTAAAAATATCTTGTTACCTAACTGATGTAGAACATCATAAATTAGTTTCACAAATGATCTACAAAAGTTAACAACTGATATAAAACCTGTCCTCATTATGTAGTAAAACAGCTGATATATAACTGTTACACTGACATAAAATCTGTCCTCATTATGTAGTAAAACAACTGATATATAACTGTTACACTGACATAAAACCTGTTCTCATTATGTAGTAAAACAGCTGATATATAACTGTTACACTGACATAAAACCTGTCCTCATTATGTAGTAAAACAGTTGATATATAACTGTTACACTGACATAAAACCTGTCCTTGTTATGTAGTAAAACAGTTGATATATAACTGTTACACTGACATAAAATCTGTCCTCATTATGTAGTAAAACAGCTGATATATAACTGTTACACTGACATAAAACCTGTCCTCATTATGTAGTAAAACAGTTGATATATAACTGTTACACTGACATAACACCTGTCCTCATTATGTAGTAAAACAATTGATATATAACTGTTACACTGACATAAAACCTGTCCTCATTATGTAGTAAAACAGTTGATATATAACTGTTACACTGACATAAAACCTGTCCTCATTTAGTGGTAACACAGCTGGTATACAAGTTGTAGACTTAAGGTAGTTTCACAGCTGATGAATAATGTACCTGTCTTTTTCAATTAGCTTCAGAAATAAACCTGTACAATTACAGTTTTAAAACTGATATATGTTCTATCCATATTATACATCTGATGTATAATCTGTACATATTAAGTAGTTCGTGACTAATGTACATGGTGGGTATAAAGTTATTATGGTTACTTGTAATAGTGTGTTGGTTATATAAGGTAATATAAAGATATATATTTTATTTATTACATAAACTTTCTATGGTTATTACAGAAAGCTTTCATTGTAACTGTTACTCAAAAGCAGTGTACGTTGTTGTTACATAAACTTTTAATTATTATTCCAAAATGGACTTACCTCATGTCACACAAAAGGCTATCTTGATCATTGACTGCCCTCTGAGCATTTCTAAAAGAATTTTAGTAATCTGCATATAAGTCTTTATACCTCACCAGTTTCATGCCATTTCTGGCATGCCACAATTTAGACGTGTTTAATTTTTCCCGAGTGTGACTACAGTTTTTGATTGTGCTTTGTTACCTTTTAGGTCGGAAGTTTAATCTCACAATTTTTTAACTTTGCATTGGTTTTTAATTGTTTCTACAATTTTACATTCAACAAAATTCTCGTTTCCGAATTCTATGTTTTTAATATGAATTCGAGATTTAATGTCATGGACAATGATATTCCCACCATAGACATCAATGCACATGGCACGACTTCCCAGGATACAGGATCTACTTTATCTGCGGAGGAAGTTCAAGCCTTGATTTACAGGGAGTTAAGAGTCTTACGTCCAATCTGGATAGACTTCTTTGTCCAGTTCAATCCCTGAAGTGTTATGTGGTTCGTACTGCCTCCTTTCTGGGTCCACGTTCAAGACTATTTATTCCTTGGAACCCTTCTGTCTCCCTCGATCTGTCTCCAGTAAATCTCACTGGTTGGGTTCATCAACTCATCAGGATGGCATATTCAGACTTGTCCGTGGAAGGTCGCCATCTCCACAATGTCTCTTCACATCAAATTCGTCACATTACCATGTCTTTAGCTGCTTGCCTTCACCTCTTCTTGGAAGAAATCATCCAGGCTGGTATGTGGATAACTCCCAATACTTTTGTCATGCATTATCTGCACAATCTGGCTGTTTCTTCCTCTGGTGGATACAGTCTTCCTGTGGCAAGTTTGTTCATTTCTTTTCTTTTCAGCTTCCCTAAGCTTCTTTACGGATCCTACCTAGTGGCAGGTGTTGCCTGGTCAGGCATGTTTTGTCTCAAACCCGCACTAAATACAGTAACTATATAATGCTCACAGTTGAGATGGGATGTTTCTGTAAGACTACGGGGTGCTTTCTTGGTGGTGTATGTCTATGTATTATAATTATATCTTTAGTGGACCATCAGTCATTGATTCCATGAGTAAAGCAAAAGGGGATTTCTGCCCAACCCTGCAGACCCTTTGATTCCTTAAATGGCTTTGGTTTGCTTTTCAAAATAGGGAAGCACCCATTGCACTGTCCTCCTCACTGCCTTTTACCCCCCCCCCTTCTTTGAGTAGAGCATGGGCATTGTTCCCAGTTGCAAAGCTGGTTCCATAGTGGCACTTCTCCTGGATGTTTTCTACTAGGGCTGACCACACTAAAAAAAAACAATGGTCAAATATTATTTGGGGCCAACCTACACGGGATCCTCCTTGTAATTCCAGGTTCAGGGTGACAACACCCTGTTCCTATGGTTGTGTGCAGTAGACGCCTCTCTTCTTGTTAATTCTGGCTGCAATAGGTTCTTTCCTGCTTCTACAATTGGGTTTCAGACACTTCATCTGCCTCACAATAGCAGCAATCGGACATCTGTACTCTGTTCCTGCAGTTGGGCAAATGCTGCTTGTCCTTGTAATTCCGGATACAGGATATCTTTACCCTGCATTTACAGTTGAGTGAGGTATGATTTTGCACTTAATACCAGTTACAGCTATTCCTGTTCTCATGGTTGAGTCAAGGCAATGCCAAGACCCTGTAATGCTGGGTTCGGTTTGTCGTACTTCCTCCTATGGTAGTTTGTCCAGTTATGACCGCTTGCTCACTTCGTCTTCGTAATTCCAGTTGCCTGACATACGACACTCTGTTTACTTATCGTTGAGGTTGTTGTGTATTGATAACACGGTACACATGCCCCAACCATCTGTTGTTATGACTTTTTTTTTTTATCTCTTTATATGTTGATTCAGCTTGCACCTTCTTAATACACTTACAATTGTGCAAACATTACCTTTTCCACCCATTTTATGTTACTTTCCTAATTCCTAGGCAAAGAGCACACCTATTCCAGAAGTAGTGTGGCACCTCACAGGTGTGCTTCATTTTATTTCTGAGCACACCAGTTCATTCTGGGCAGTTGCTTTCTGCTTGGTTTGTTCTTTGTGCACCTACAACGGTCCTCCACCCTTGCAATGTGGGATTCTACCTTTTTGTGTGAAAGGAAGTAAGTCTATTTCAGAGGTTAACATTTTCTTATACTGAAAATGTATTTCCAATGGGTATTTACCTCCTTTCCCACCCTTTCTTTCCAATAAAACCAGTATTTTTATTCTAGTGCCTGCCAATTCTCAAAAGTGAGGATTGAGTGGGAATAGGAGAGGGAGCTAATTGTGACATTATAGGTGGGGCAATACTATTGGTGGAGAGTATTCACATGTTATGTATATGTTTAGAAATGACATGAAACTGGTGGGGTATAAAGACTGTTGTGCTGATTACTAAAATTCTTTTAGCAATGCTTAGAGGGCAGTTAATGATCAAGATAGCCTTTTGTGTGAGAGGAAGTAAGTACCCATCGGAAATACATTTTAAGTGTAAGAAAATGTTAACTTTCAGTAATCTTTCATTGTTAATTGTTACTTGAAAGCAGTGTATAATGTTGTTACATGAACATTTTATGATTATTACAGAAATCTTTCTTTGTACTGTTACTTGCAAGGATTGTATGATGTTGTTACATTAACTTGCTATATCATTACTAAAATCTGTCATTGTTAAGGGTACTGGAAACCAGTTAAATTAGTACATCAATATACTGTGACTGCGGGAATAAGTTACTGTGAAATGTTGTTAGAAATTAACACTAGGAGTTAGGTAGTTGAATTTATCATGCAAGCAGATGTGTAATATTAAATTTCTATTAGTTTTGGGTTTCTACGTGAAATTACCATAGGTGCTGAAAGCCTATATCCCTTGTCAATGCTCTTGATGACATCTTGATTGGACCAGTTCCAGTACGGTCGCTCTCCGTATGACATCACCTCCCAGCAGACAATACCAAAACTCCATACATCACTGGCTGATGTAAACTTTCTAAAAGCAATAGCTTCAGGAGCAGTCCATCTAACAGGAATCTTCCCTCCCTGAAGTTTTTAAAAAAATTACCCAAGTTACCAGAAGAGTAAAACTCCAACAGCATAGGCAGTATTAATTTTTTTTAAAGTGAATGCTTCTATACCATTCCTTTTAACATCAATTTTCCATTACTGAAGTTATTACATCATCAGGATAGTTAAACAGCCTCAGTTATTATGATATCCTCCAAACTCCACACATCTACTTGTGATACATATAAACAAACACTTACTCAAGTTTTTACCTTTTAAAAACCTATTTTAATTGAGTTATAGGTTATTATTTAGAGATTAAGAAATAAAAGAAAACATTAAAATTTTTACATTCTCCACTTCTGATTATATTATTAAGTAAAATATATCAGCAAGGTTCAAAGACTGAAATTTAATTATTGTAGTAATAGACTACCACTAATTGCCCTGGTTAAGCAGGTTGTTTCTGCACCCTCCATCCCAGACTATACAAGTCAAAGTCAGCAATGTTACAGACTATCACTAGTCATCCTGGTTATTTAGGTTCTTTCTGCAATGTTCAACTTGAATTAAACAAGTCATAGTCAGCATTATTACAAACTAAACTCTCTAGATGTACACGTTTGGAAATGATGATTAGTTTTGACATGCTAATACTGAAGACTGTATTTTCCCAGATGATCTTACTCCATTCACTTCTCACTGCTTCTTATAATAGCAATAACGTTTCCTTGAGATCAGACTTCTTCAGAGAACAACCATGTCAATGTTGTCCAACTCCTTTTGGGCAGCTGACGAGAAAGTTACTAGTGTCATAGATATGTGACTTCAAAGTACACATATAAACAGACCAAATGTATAAATGTCCATTGGGAAATTTGACAATTACTAGTCAAATTGGATTACTGTGATTCCAGTTTCTTTAGCTAAAATATTAAAGGATCCTATTCTTGATTTTAAGGTGTGATTAGAAGCTTGTGAACTTTTGGTTTGCAAGACTAAAGCAATTTCTAATACTTCTTTATTATATTATCAATGACACTGAGAGATATGTCCAGCTTCATTGCAATGGCATTTTGGGTCGAAGGATTCTTTTTTTTTGCCACAAAAGCCCTTCACTTTGTAGATGATGGTATTGTTCCTAATCCACTAAAAAAAATTCCTAATTCGATGCTGCAATGCGAGTTTTCCAACTGTATGGGGAACACTGAAGACATTCTTCTTTGAAATAACATGTTCTTTGTCTTTACAGATACATACCTTTTCAATCACCAATTAAGTTTTGCAGTATTTCATAAATTTAGAAAGTGCCTCATTGTATAAGCTACAAACCAAAGTCAACAATCTTGTAGACTTGCTTTTCCAGTTGTACTTCTTACCATGTTTGTATAAAAGTTACTTTTGTTGCATTCTTTATTTGAAATGTACAAATCAAAGTCAACAATCTTGTAGACTGGCTTTTCCAGTTGTACTACTTACCCTAGTTGTAATTACTTCTGTTACATTCTTTATTTGAAATGTACAAACAAAAGTCAATATTCTCCTAGACTGCCTTTTCCAGTTGTACTGCTTACCCTGGATTTATAAGCTCCTTCTGTTAAATTCTTTATTTGAAATGTACAAACCAAAGTCAACAATCTTGTAGACTGGCTTTTCCATTTGTACTACTTACACTGGTTGTATAAGCTCCTTCTGTTGCACTCTCAATCTCTCTAGATAAACCAAAGTCAGCTATTTTACAGACTAGGTTGTTGTTAACCAATACATTTCTGGCAGCCAGGTCCTACAAAGGTGGAAATAAGTTCTTGTTATATTAAACCTCAACAATTCTTAATGTTTTATCTATTCATATTAACAAAGATTCTTCACATGTATAATAAATAAATATAATAAATCCATTCCTAAATAAATATCTTCATGGATCTTTAGGTTAGATCAGTTGGAGTCCCATAAATTAGGTTTTGTGTAGGTGTTTAGCTGACTTAATCCTGTCCATTATATACAGTAACAAAAGCAATTCTGTAAACAAGTTTCTCTCTATATACCTTAATGTGGGCTTTAGCCTCAAACATTAAATGTAACAATATCAGCCTTTAGAAGCAAGCTCTGATCAAGATATTCATCCTAGATAAATTCTGATAAATTTAACTATCAACATAACCTCTCTAGATCTTAATGATCTTGATTCTTATATTGCTGCATCCATTTCACAATACCAGTTCTATAAATAAGTTTATTACTAGATCTCAATGCTAGCTTGATCCTTATATTGCTGCATCCATTTCACAATACCAGTTCTATAAATAAGTTTATTACTAGATCTTAATGCTAGCTTGATCCTTATATTGCTGCATTCATTTCACAATACCAGTTCTATAAATAAGTTTATTACTAGATCTTAATGCTAGCTTGATCCTTATATTGCTGCATTCATTTCACAATATTAGTTCTATAAATAAGTTTATTACTAGATCTTAATGCTAGCTTGATCCTTATATTGCTGCATTCATTTCACAATACCAGTTCTATAAAGAAGCTTCTCTCTAGATCTTAACGCTAGCTTGATCCTTATATTATTACATGCATTTTACAATACCAGTACTATAAAAAAGCTTATCTTTAGATTTTAATTGTGGCTTGATCCTTATATTACTACATTCATTTTACAATACTAGTAAATTCTATAAAGAAGCTTATCTTTAGATCTTAATGCTGGCTTGATCCTGTATTACTACAAACATTTCATAATACCAGTTTTATAAAGAAACATCTCTAGATTTTAATGCTAGCTTAATTCTGAATTCTGTAAGTAACAATATCAGCTCTATAGGGAAGGCTCTGTCTTGATCTTAAATTAATACTGTAAGTAACAGTACCTGATCTACAAAAAAAGGTTTTGTCCTGATCCTAAAGTAGGAATGTAAATAACAATACCAGTTCCATAAAGAAAGTTCTGTCTTGATCGTAAATTATTATTCAGAAATGCTACTCACCTCTTTGCACAACAAAGAGCTATTACCTCATGCTTACTACCATGTAAATTCCTGTGCATGTCACAAGCTTTGAACAAAGCTCCCACCCCTACTCGTGTCAACTTGTATTGTGCCAGCCTATGATGTAATCATCATTAAACTATATCCCTCCAACAATAAGAACTGCCCAACTTTTGCTTCTTTCAGTCTGCCTATAATGGTGAAACATTTAGTTCTCAGCCCTTCCCTTCATGTTGACTCTGGCACCATCCATTACTTGGGTCCATTGGGTTTTTGCTTGGTGGTTACATTCTTGAGGTCTATTATGTATGATTGCCTACTTGATCCTTTCAATGTTCCTTTCTCTGTTGTGAGTTCCCTTTTCCCTTCTTGTTTGGTGGGGCCGTTTCAGTTCTCTAATTCATTCTCAACCCACCCTGTATCTCATTATTTAAGGGTTTTCCTCACTTTGTATGTTTGACAGGTTCAGCCTACTTCTTTATTTATTTGAGACTTGGAGCTGTGGTTCCCCATTCACTCATGTCTCCATATCATGCATGGGGGGATTTATCTCTATTAGGCCCAATGTTTTTACTCTTGAGTCCCTTGTTGCTCTTGAAGGTGTTCATACATATCCCCTTCAGTGGTTTTTAGCCTGTCAATGTGGGTATATCCAGAGATCCACTGTTTAATATACCCACTTGTGGTCATGAAGGCTCACTTGATCCCACACAACCCTGGATGTTCCTCTTCCCTCAGATATGCATCACTTTGACCAATCCTACAGATACACACTTCCACCATTGCCTCTATTTGGGTTGGGTTCTTTTCTGGATACATGACCCATTTCCAGCATCTGATCTCTGGAGATGTTTCTCTATCTCTAAATCCTTGAGATGGTGGCTTCTCTGCAGACTTGCCATCATCTTCTGTTTCATCTTTCTTGTCGTATCACAATTCATTCAGACACCTTCTCCATTGTTTCATACATCTCCCACCTGGGAGGCACTTGCTTCCAGAACCTATGATTCCCTGGCTCTGGACTTTCTCTTTTGGACCCACAATGGATGTGGTGTCCCACTGAGTGCTGCCCCACTTCTTTACCATCTTTAATGTGGGATCCTAGGTCTTTGTTATGCAGAGAGATGTGTAGCAATGTTTCTGAAGTTGAGATTTTCCTAAGTTAAAAATGTATTTCACATTGATACTTACCTCTCGCACAACCTCCCACCTCTGCTGTGCTTCCTTTGCCTCATCAAGAATAAACTTTTGTTCAAGTGGTAGTGTTCATGGGAATTATTGAATATGAAGGATGTGTCACCCTCCTGTTTGTGAAGGTTATAGTCTAATGATGGTTACATCATAGGCTGATGCAATAAATGTTGACACACATAGGGGTGGGAACTTTGTTCAAGGCTTGTAACATGATCATGAACTTATGTGGCAGTGTGTATGAGGCAATAACTCTTTGTTGCACAGAGAGGCAAGTATCTATTTGAAATACATTTTCAGCTAAGAAAAATTTTAACTTGTAAGTAACTAAAACATTTCTATAAAAAAGATTCTATGTTGATCCTAATTAGTATTGTAAATAACTAAATTAGCACTACAAATAAGATTTTGTCTTGATCCTAAATTAGTATTGTAAGTAAATAAAACATTTCTATAAAAAAGATTCTATGTTGATCCTAAATTAGTATTGTAAGTAACTAAACAAACTCTAAAAATAAGTTTTCATCATAATTCTAAATTAATATTTGATTAAGAAACCCCGTTCTACAAAGAATGTTTTGTCTTGATTCTAAATTAGTATTGTAAGTAACAATTCTAGCTCTACAAAAAAAATGTTCTGTCTTGATCCTAAATTGGTATTTTAACAATTCCAGCTGTACAAAGAAGGTTCTCTTGATCCTAAATTATTATTGTAAGTAACAATTCCAGCTCTACAAAGAATGTTCTGTATTGATCCTAAATTGTTATTGTATGTAACAATTCCTGCTATATAATGAGGTTTACTTCTAGATGTATAACATGTAATGATACCAAATATATAAACAAGTTTCTGTCTTAGATCTGTATGTTGGATTAATCCTACACTAAATTTCTTGTGAAAGAAGATCATTAATTATATACTGTGTGATTATAACAAAACAAATAGTGCTCTTTATCAAGAACTTAAAGAATGGTACAAGATTAAAAACTATGTTAAATCTAAAATTTAAAGGTAATACTATATTTTAGCATCTAACCTTTATATTTGTGGTAATTTTTATAAGGTATTTAAATAAGATTCAATTGATACTTTGGCCTGTTTGTCATAATAATATTATAGTATTAATAAACATTGTGCCAAATCCTGATAGTTTTCTACAAACCATGATATCACTTACTCTGTGGACATAGTTCATCTCATATAGATACTGCATTCCTGCTGCAATCCCTCTTAACATTCCAACTACTTGGGTTATTTGAAATTTTCCATCATTAGCCTGTAAAAATCATGAGTTTATATTGTGTGAATTTTTATACAGTTGAATAATTAAATATCCTACATTACTCAATCTTGTAAGAAAGCCATGGCATCAATAATTCAGGTTAGAAATGTTTCTTAATTAAAATAAATATGACATCTTATTTTCTAACTGCATGTGTAAATCATTACCTTCCATTACATTTTTCAGTAGGCCATGTTCTTAATGGTAACAATAATATCACAGGTTATGATAACTTACAGCTTTTATTAGGTAGAGATCCCAGGTTTGAAGAAATCTAGCTGGAATTACATTAAACAAGTCAAAAAATTTCTATGAACAGCATTTTTTTGAAGTGTTACAAAACAGGAAACTTAAAAGTGAATGATTTTTCAACGTTTAAAGTAATGAATAAATTATCCATAAAAGTGTAAGGCACTTAGGATCCTACAAATAAGAATGAATAAATATGAACAAGTAAAAAATAAAATAATGTCATCTATTTATTAAAATTTTTACACAGTAAAAATGTCATCAGTCCTATCAATAATGCTGCCAACAAATTTGTCCTCATTTATAAAAATATTTACAATACAACTTTGGTTTGTTTATTTGTTTTTAGAGTAAAGCCACATTATGCTATCTACTGTGTCCACCACAGGGAATTAAACCTCAGATTTTAGGACTGTAAATCCGTATATTTGTTGTTCTCTGGTGGGACAGCAATAACTTTGGATGAAAAGATTTAAAAATTGATAGGGATTCTAAATAAAATTATGAAGGTATAAAAGTGAGTTATTCACTAATTGGTCTTTTTCTAAAAGTTGACAGTTTTATGAGTTAATATATGCTTTAAACATAAAAAAGTTTAAAACAAAATAGTCATAAAGGTAAAAATAAGTATCACACTGGAGACAAAGACATATAATTAAATAATCTTGTGTTAACATTTGTACATTTTTATTGCTTTTGGATCAAGAAATAACATGTAATATTCATAAATCATGTAAATTATACCCACAATTACACCCTGAAAAAGTTTTGAGCAGGGTATTCACTTTTTCCTTTCATCTAATTTTTACTTTTGTGCTGTCTCTAAACTATTTGTCAATGAGCTGTTTTAAAGAAGAAAATGCATAAGTGAAGTTTTTACCATTGGCTGAAATGTGTGTTGATGTATAAATAATTTGAAGCTTAATTAAGGTTGGCCATAATTAAAACCATTATTCTATTGTGACAACTTATATGTTAGATGGGATTTTAGCGTTTTTTCTTTTGGAAAGTTAATACATTATTCAGTTAAAAATAGTAAGGAGCTGACCTACTTAATGCTTAAGGAGCACATGTAATGAAAGACAAACTTTCATAACTTCAATAATAACAAATAGTGCAATGAAAGACCCATAGAAATATGTATATGTCTAAAAGCAAAAAAAAAAGAAAAGATAACCACTTTACAATTTTACACATGAACTTGAATCAGAAAGATATCTGTCAAACACTGGTTTGCTATAGGGTGATGTGATTTAAGTTAATGTTTGTTGCCGAAGTGTCTAGCTGTCAACTGTCTTAGTAATAAAAACATGAACATGGTTACATTACTAACAATAGCATTGAGACAGGTATGTAGAGATTTATTTGAGAGAGGAGAAATAAATTAAAAACATTTTATTTGTGTAATTTTCTCCTCTCTCTTGCACTGTGGGCCAAAATCTTTTATGATGTTTTTAATTAGCAGTAAACAAAGTACATGATGTGGGATTAAACACCATCTCAGGGCAACACAAACACATCTTGTGGACCACTTAGAAAGTAATGATTTAGCTGGAACAAAATGTAAGAAGCTAGTAACAGTAAACAATGGATAGAGTAAATGAAGGAAAGTTCTTTCCATTAGCTTACTGTTACCAGTTTCTCATATTTTCTTCCAGTCTAAACCATCACTTTCTAAGTTGTCCATGAGATGTTTTTTTGCATCACTCTGTGACAGTTTTCAATTCTGGGTCTTTAGAATACCTATGGTACAATTCTGGAGGATTCAAATTTCTATACAGATCTGCTACTAAGCACCAACTTCTTCAAAAGTCTTCCAGATTTTGATAAATCAAGATTACTTTCTGGAAGTTTATCCATGAAGTTCTTGGTGAAAAATAAACATTAAATGTTGTTGCCAACTGTCAAGTAAGACATAATTTAAATTCTTTACTTTCAAGAAACAACTTTTGTAAAATTTTCCAACCAGAAACCCGGAAGACTGATTTAATTGCAAAGTAAGCACCAAGAGTTTAGTGAGTTATCATACCCAACAAACTTTAAGTAATATTTATAAACGCATAAAAAACTAATGGAGAAACTATTATCAAGATTTCTTCTCAGAATTCTCTGCTTTTTTATCTAAAACATAAATGTAAAACTGAAAATATTTTGATTCCAAATTGTCTAAATGATCATAAAAATAGGTTTTTTGTTGGTCACAAATTACTGATAATGATCTTAAATACATTAAGCAGCATATAAACAAGAATTTTAAAACTTTCACAGAAGGAAATATTATAGGTCCTAACATTATCATTAGAAAATATCACTAAATGCAAACAAAAAATTAAAGAGTTTAAGGCTAAAACAATTGAAATATTTTACTTCATTAGTCTCTTTACCAGTCTTCTCACTGATAGGATCACTATGGACATTATCTAACAATTTTGGTAAATTATTATTTTGTGGTAATTTTTTGACAGTACTCAACATAGAATGTATAAAAATGTCACACTTGTTAAACTTCTATTTGTTTTACAGCAGATTTGAGGAATAACAGTTCAAAGATCAGTAACCATCCTTTACATACTTCATTTTCTTTGAAATATCTGTTCAGAGATCATTCATCTTACAACAGAATTTGCAACTTCCTTAAGAACATGTAACAATACATTTTTCCTGAAGAATTCTTTCTGAGATCATTCATCTTTCTACAAATCACACAAAAGTTACTAAGTATGTTTAGAGATCAGTTACGACAACTATAAGTCACACGACAAACTTGCTTAGAGAAAAATATTTAGGATGTACAACAGCAAACAAATTACCCTAAGGAATGTGTCCAGAGATCCATTGTCCATATATTCTGTAATGATCATAACAGGATTACTTTTTGTAACGACACCTTGTAGAAAGATAACATTGGGATGGTCAAACTGTCCCATGATGCTTGCTTCAGTTAAGAAGTCCATACGAGCTTTATCACTTGACCCTGTCTTAAGAGTTTTAATAGCCACTGTTATTTCTGAATGTGTTGGAATCTTCAACTTTCCTTTGCAGACATCCCCAAACTCTCCTAGATGGAATTCATAAAATGCAGAATAAGTTTTGTTAGTCTGTGAGTTTGAAACAAAATATATGTGTAACAGAATACTAATCCTGCTTATGTCTCCTTCAAAATTCATTAGCCTGTGTTGAAATTTGTAATTTAATTTTTTAGCAGTACTATAGCTATTTGGCTTTCTATACATCTACACAGTGTACTTAACACCTCACAGTTTAACACACTCCACATTTGTGCTGGTAGACAACCAAAAATATGTTCATTTTATTTGAAATGGAATATGTGTTTCCATCTGCTGTGTGCACTCAATGTAAGTAATTTTTGTTATGAACTGTGTTTTGTTTTTAAAACTTAAACTAGTTATTGAGTACATGATGCTTTATTAACTTATTCAAATAATAAATATGTATATGATAAAAGTTGAAACTTTTTCATTCTGAAAATAATTTAAAACAACCCCAGTATAATTATTGATTTTAGTTTAAGGTAACACCTTACATTTTGATTTTCAAAAGAAGCAACATAAGAACTAGGTCTCAGGCTGCGAGTGTCTATTATCACTACTTATGCACTTGTTTTGTAACACTGGCCAAACTTGCAAATGAAATTACTCATGCAGTTACCAACATTTGATTTTTATTACACGTTGCAGTGTAATCCTAGTTTTTATTATGTGGAATGCAATATATAAATAATGATGAGTAAATATTGTTGTGTTGCGTCAGCGAGTCACGTGACTACTGTGACGCAACGTTTCTAGAACTATCATGTACTTTGGCGAATGCCCTAGTAATTACTAG